AGATGTAATTAATCACCTCTCTAAAGTGTATGCAGTTATGCATATAACACTAGCAGAGTATTTTTTTTTAATGTAGAGCACTTGAAGCAAGTCCTCTAGTAGTACTACTGATTTTTTTAAAAAAAATGTATTGATACATACATGCAAATATAGACAGTGCATAAGACATAAGAACTATCTGATGTCTACTTTATGCTTAGTATACATAACAATAAAGAAAAAAATAAAGGTATGCCTCCCCTTCATAAAGGGATTAAAAAATGCAAAGAGCTGTTAACCTCAACAACTCAGCTTCCATATTCTGTAATGGAATAATTGATCCCTTGCTCACAAAAGCACTTAAGGATAACCTGTATTACCAAGATTAACAATATAAAGCATCAACAATATATACAATGCTGTGAGTTGATTAATTTCAACATGAACTCTTTTTTCAGTTGAAGTTCAAGAATTCATTCAACTATCTTCTTTAGTGTTTTTTTTTTATACATTCCCACTGATGTCCCGTTTCACAGAGCATCACGCACACAAAAAAACCCACAAAATGCAGTGCATTTCATCATGCAATACCATCCAAAAAGGGAAAAATCAACCAAATAACAACAAAAAAAAGACAGAACACTTTTAGAGTAAGGCCTTTATTCATAAGGGGTGGGAGGAAAGAGAGTAGGAGAGTCCTTTATTTTTCTTTCCAAAATTAACTTTGGCAAGCAGACAAAAAAAAACACAGAACAAGCCTGTCAGCAGATTCCTTGATGTTTACTGCTATGGAAGATTCATTATTTTTAATGTATACCAAACCACACTGATCATAGAGCAAAGAGCATGCTTCTATCTAATCCCCCAATTTCTGGGTCTGCTCAGTCTGCCATTACATTCAGTCCATCCTGGCTATCAGAGCTCATGTACTTTATCTACAAGTTAACCTCTTAATTCAGAAAGGAAAGGAATGAATCTCCATTACTGCAGCAGGAGGAATAAAGCATAATACGAAGTATCAAAATACAGGGTGCAAATTGTCAAAGTGTAAGTATTTTTGTCTGGAGTTAGATTATAGGTATAACATCCCTTTAGAACAGTTTGTAAAATATTTTTATGGTGGAAATTAAATGAATTTTAAATAGAAAAAAAATTCCAATTCTAACAAAAAACAGCCCCAGGGAGATCACCAGCAGAGCTCAAGTACATAATTTCAAAGCCCAAAGACCACTACCATTGGAATTACAAGAGTAAGCATTGTCTCTTCTCTGCCCCTCACTGACCACCCAAGAGAGGACTGCATTGAGAAACACATCAGCCAAACACTGATCAAAAATTCAGAGGTCTATTAACACTGTAAGGAAGCACTATCCCTTAATTACAGATCATTGGCAGGCTTCACAATGCAGCAGAAAACTACATGCAGACAAAATACAGAACATTCTTCCTAATCCAAGTACACAGGTAGGAAATCCGTGCCTCACTCAAGAGTTTAGCTGTAGGGTTCTTTATGCTCCAAAAAAAAAAAAAAAAAAAAAAAAAAGGTTTCTGCTACTACAGAAGTCTATTGGACATCTATTTCCATACTGGTGAAAAATCATCAAACCCCTTGCTGCCTTTCGGCAGCAATTGCCTCGGCGCATCGAGTGGGCACGGGTTCCACCACCCAGGAACCCGGGCCAAATGAGCACACACACCACTATGATGGATGCAGCAAATGGCACTTATTGCAGACACATCCAAACTTATATAGGGCACCTGTGACATCCAAACTTATATAGGGCACCTGTGTGTGGAGACACGCCCCGTAGCCCATAGCGTTAACATCGCCTTATACGGGCACGTGCCCATCTCCCCTATTCTTTCCACTATTCTTTCCGCTCAGCGCGAGATCTTCTGACCGCCGTACCCTACACTACCTTTAATCTGTACCACATTAAACCAGGAGTAAAGGTATTGGAGAAGCTTGTGAATTAGGAAGAAAAGGCTGAATTAAGTCACATTGGAAACATTGCTTTGGCTACCTTTTTCTTCTTCTTAAAAAAAGAAAAAAAAAAAAGTATTTAATTCTACAGATGCCTTCGTTGCTTTCTATAATTCTAAGAGAGAAAGAAAGACTTTTCCCTTATCCTGCTTTCCCTTTTTTTTTCTTCACATAGTTCATGCGACCTAAAACATTTTAAGAAAATTCTTTGCTTTCATTTCCGTTATCCATGTTCTTTATAAAAGTTGGGGAAACTGTAAAAGTCAGATCTGTAAAACTGTGGAAGACCAAGGACAAATCATATTTTAAATTTAGAACTACCATCTTTCACAGTATAGCACTGTCACCTATGCCAAACATCTTTACCTCCTTCTTCACTATTGTCCTGAGAAATAGTGTTAGATGCATGCTTTACCTCAGAGTAGTCTCCCATCTGAATGAAAGACTCAGAAATCTTCATGAATATCTTAACCATACCCTAGCTATACTTTTGCACTTCCCCAACTTTCCTTCCAAAACCTCTGCATAATGAATTTTAGTAGTCCAAAATAATTGTTGGATTATGCCTGTATTTTAGAAGCAGTGCTTCAGCACATGTTTTCTTAACTGCCTAATTATATCCTGCCTCAGATATACTGATTTTTAGATATCAGTGAACATACCTGTTTTTCATCTCAAAATATTTAGATTTTTCTCTGGAACTGTCAATGCTTGAAAACATATTTTCACATCTTTCCCAGCTCTAAAATTCTTCCCCTTTTTAAATTGTGAATAAAGTTCTATTTTACAATATGAAAATCTAGTGGATAAGCATAGTGGATAGTTTGAGTAATTTTTTCCTCTCCTCTTTTCCTGCTTTT